CACCTCCACCACCACCATCACCATCACCACCTCCATCATCACCATCATCATCATCACCATCATCACCATCATCATCATCACCATCACCACCACCATCACCACCCTCACCATCACCACCACCATCACCACCCTCACCATCACCACCACCATCACCACCCTCACCATCACCACCACCATCACCACCCTCACCATCACCACCACCATCACCACCCTCACCATCACCACCACCATCACCACCCTCACCATCACCACCACCATCACCACCCTCACCATCACCACCACCATCACCACCCTCACCATCACCACCACCATCACCACCCTCACCATCACCACCACCATCACCACCCTCACCATCACCACCACCATCACCACCCTCACCATCACCACCACCATCACCACCCTCACCATCACCACCACCATCACCACCCTCACCATCACCACCACCATCACCACCCTCACCATCACCACCACCATCACCACCCTCACCATCACCACCACCATCACCACCCTCACCATCACCACCACCATCACCACCCTCACCATCACCACCACCATCACCACCCTCACCATCACCACCACCATCACCACCCTCACCATCACCACCACCATCACCACCCTCACCATCACCACCACCATCACCACCCTCACCATCACCACCATCACCACCACCACCTCCACCATCACCATCATCACCATCATCACCATCATCACCGTCACCATCACCATCATCATCACCACCTCCACCATCACCACCTCCACCGTCACCACCACCATGGCCTCTACCACAACCTCTACGCTATCAAGGCTCAGACCGCCCCCCCCTCCTTGGAGTCCAGCTCCTCACATGCGCCCTCTCCAGCTACAGGGATGCCGGGACCAGCATTTACCATATCTGGGGAAACTTCTGGTAGACAAAAGTTCCTCCTTTCTTTATAGACTTCACCGACTGTCTTGGAGCGATCGGTCCCCTCCACAGTCCACGGGGCCTCCGGGCAGGAGGACACGCACACCTGTGGGTAGAGAACACGCTAAGGATGGTACCCCGGGCCTTGGGAACAGGCGGGGTTCACACAAGTCCTGGCTTCTGACCTGGGGTGTGGGGCACTGTAGGCCGTTCTGGGCGACAGAGATGACGTTGGCGGCTACGATACAGTTGACGATGTTGAAGTATAGAACATAGGGTTTACCCCTGCGGGAGGAGAGGACGTGGAGGCATAAGGGCCCGGACAGGTGTAGGGCTTTGTCGTTCTCTTAGCACACAGATAGTCCTGTGGACCAAACTAGTTACATCCAGCTCCTGGCCCAGCCTCTCTAGGGAGATAAGGAGGTCCAGAAGACCACCTAGGGTAATGAATTCACCATACAGCAGCCAATGTGGGCTGAGAGTATCGATTCTGGAACACAGCCTCTGGTAAGGCAGCTAAGGTAGCTTTACAGCCACCTCAGGAGGCTTAACAGTTTGGGTGTGAAACACCCCGCCTGCCTGCAGCATTGTAATGGTGACAGGAGTGTTGGTGGCTTATTATTTACCGGGCATTTCCTGCATACTTTCTGGATGCTGCCATTGCTTCAGTGGAGGAAGTTAAAGCTCAGAGAGGCTGAGCAAGCTGCTCAAAGTCTCACAACCCAAACTCACCCCAGTTGGGGACTCAGACAGTGACCTGTGAACTTATTCACTAAAACTGGCTCTGCACTGTCCCAGTCCTGGGGAGGCTGGGCTTGGGAGGGCTTCCAATGGGTTCGGGGAGGCAGAGGGTCTGGCTGGAGAACAGCAGACGCCAGGCTCTGGTGTCCACCGTGGGGTGTCTCCTGCCCCCCCAAGCTTCTGCCTTCCCTCCACATACTCACTTGTTTTCCCCCATGCCACAGTAGGCCCCCGTGGAGTTCCTGGGGTAGAGCACTTGCCGAGGGTCTCCATACACCCAGGCTGGAAAGAGGGATGCACAACACAATCACAGGAGGGCAGAGACTTGGGGCAGGCGGCTATGGGGTCATCCCCCGGGTCACTGCCCCTCACCCTGGGTACCTGGAAACTTACCCACGAGCCCCACCACAATGTAACCCAAAATGAAGAGCAGGAACAGGACACAGCAGAGGATGTCTGTGCAGCCCCTGGGGAGAGATGGACGTCTGAGCCGGGGTGTTTGTAGGCACGGATGGGGAATTTAGGGGTGCAGGTGCAGGGCGTAGTCTGTGGGGGTCATGAGTTAGAGGAGTGGGGAATGCTAGAAAGACTGTGAGACAGAAAGACAGCCAGCTCATACATGTTTACCTGGGTGAGTTTTCCCCAGATGTGTACACACCTGAGTAGCTGGCACCCAAGTCAAGAACGAGAATGACCCCAGCATCCAGAGCCCCCTCAAATCCCTCTAGACATACAGATGCCTCAGTGGGCCAGGCTCCTGCAGACAAACTCCCCACATCCCCAGGCGAGGGTGCCCACAGCTCACCTGTTTTTGATGGGGCCTCGGAAGGAGGGGTCATATTTGGCTGATTTCCCTGAGGGCGAGAATGAGGCACTGAAGGGCTCGCTCCCCACATCCTGTCCCTTCCTGACATCCCTTAGTCCCAGGAGCCTGCCTGGTTGGCCAGCGGGAGGAGGACACTAGGGAGCTGGATCCACAGCACCCTGGTCTGCTAACACGATGTTCGCCTGCTGTGGCTTCTACCCTAGCCGCGTGTAGGAAATGGAGTCTTTACTTCTGTTGGGACTGGATATCGAATCTGCGGCTTCCTAGGTGCGAGGCAAGCACTCGGCCAGTAAACTAACCACGGCCTCTTGTCTTTATCTTGGTATTTCAGACAGGATCTTGCTGAGTTCCCCGAGCTGGTCTTGAACTTGCCCCCTTCCTGCTTCAGCTCCCCCCCCCCCAATGGGTTTTTATAGTAGGTTTCTGGGAGTGTGGTTCTGATTCTCCCCTGAAGGCCATCCGAGTGGAAAGTGGCCCTGGTCCTCCTGCCCCTTCCTTCCCTGGTCAGTTTTTACGACCCCCTCTAGGTGGCTCTCAGGCCCCATTCTGTCAGTCTCTGCCCTGACCCCTTCCCGGGTCCTCTCTGGGCCACCCAGTTCGGGAGCCCCTAAGGGACCGGTTGTCACTTATCTCACTATCTTAGCCCTCTGGCCCAAGGATATGACAAAGAAAGCATGTTTTATAGGTACGGAACCCTGCAGGGCACAGGGAGGAAGCACACAGCTCTGGGTAGCCAGCCAGGTTGACATGGGGTTGTGGCCATGTCCTGTTCCTGGTCTTCCCTGAGTACACAGGGAGGGGGTGGGGCCAGGCTGCCAGGGTTCTGGTGGACCCTGAGGCAGGGGTGAGGGCTGGGCTAGCCTGGGGCTGGGTGGGTACTGCTTTCTTGGGTATTCTGGACTCTGTCTTGCTCAGGCTTATGGAGACAGGGTCAATGATTGACCCAAAGCTGCTCCAGGAAGTTTTCTGTAGTGTGCTCTGGCCCTTACGCGGTCTCCTAGGGGACACCAGCCCCGCCTAGAGGAGGCCTAACTCTCAGAATGAGCTCCCCTGTAAGCACTGAAGATCACCTCAGGTAAGGAAACCCTCAGCCCCGTTGTCCCCAGCCCACCCCCTTCATCCCTGGCTTCTCAGGGCTTTGGTCTACCAGTTCTGGAAACAAGACTTTCTGCTTCCTCTCTCCTCAGGCCTCACCTTCCACAGAGCCCTGCCCCTGCTCTGTAAGTGCCCCAGACAGCAACCCCCTTGTTTTTGCATCCCCGCAGAAACCTCAAGGCAGGCACCAGCCCTTTTTCCACCACAGACCCTAGACCCCACTTTTCACAGGTGCTGTGGCAGGCAGACGCCAGCAGCTCAGGGCAGCACCTCGTACTCGTCACAAGGGTCCCCCCAGTCCCCATTGCCAGCTGCCTACTCTTCAAAGAGCTCTAGCAGGCAGACTCCAACCGCTGAGGGTCGCAGTCTCCCACTTAACAGGAATCCTCCTAATAGCTCACTCCAGAATTTTGGGGTCCCAACCCCCTAATCCTCACAAGAACTTTACTCGTTCAGATGCCTGGCTCCCTAACTTCACAGAGACCCCAGAATGTCAGAGTGCCAGCCACCAACTCTTCACAGGGTGTGGGTTGGCAGACCGGCCCCCCTCCCCGCCCCCAACCTTTGCTCCTCAGAGATCCAAAGTGTAAACTGGAGTTCCCCCAGCTCGCCAGAGCCCCAGCCCCAACCCTTGGAGGCTCTGAGCACAGGACACTGCTGGACCCGGAGTTCTGTCCTGAGCGGAAGCTTAAGGACCCCAACCTGCCTCCTAACCACGCTGGCTTTGTTTGCCAGGGCCCTGCCCTCAGGGACTTAGAGCCAAGGCCGGAACCCCAGCACCCTCCACCCCTGCCCTATAGAGGCCAGGCCCAACACCTGCACACCCAGATCCCACTCAGTATGCAAGACCTTTACTGTGTGCCAGACGGAGACCATCCTCCCAGGACTCTAGTTCCTCTGCCTGGAACCAGCCTCAGCCACCATGGCTTGTAGAGCCACCTCTCTCCAGAGCCCGGGCCTCTAACCCCAGCCTTACCGTAAGCCTCATTCTCATCCTGCTTTCCCCCCATGGCTCGGTCTCTGGAGTGATTGGAGCCAGGGAGACCTGGCCGCTCACCTGCCGCCCGCCCCGCCCTCCCGACGTCATAGCTCCACCCCCCGCCTGTGGTCCCCGACACACACTAGTTCCTTCTTCTGATTTCAGCTGACCAGCCATCAAGATAACTGGGCCTCAGAAGCCGCTTGCCCGGCCTGCCGGTGGCCACAGAAGGAAGAACCTGGAGTACGTTGATAAGAGAGCACTGCCTGATTTTTAAGTACCTCAACTGTGGCTCACCCAAGCGTCAAGGTTTTGATTTGTCTTTATTTAACCCCCCCGACAGTGGTCCCCCATAGCCCTTCTCTCCCACCAGGTGGCAGACAGCAACTTGCTTTCTCCCGCCTTTGTCCCCTCAAGCCCACAATCGTCGCCATGCTAAACATCCGCCAGACAAGTTTATTACCAAACCCAACATTTATTGAGAACACAGAAAATCAGTTGGCAGAGGCCCAATTTCAACTCAGCAAACTGAGGCCTGGCTCAGTGGAGCATGGCCAGCCCCGAAGTGACACTCCCAGTGAGAAACCAGCTCTGGGAGAGGGGCTGTCCACCCTCCAGGCCTGACTGACTGGAGTCTCTGAGGGAGGAATGTCTGAAGGGCAGTGCCCTGGCCTGGATCTTGAGTCCTCAGGTGTTTATGGGGGGCAAGGCGCTGAGTTCAGGCAGCAGCTCGGGGTGGGGGTCCAGTCGAGCCAGGCGACTCTGCTCCAGGGCGATGGCCTCCGCAGAGTGCTTGCACTTCTCGGAGCCACACTGGCAGGTGAAGTACTTGCTCTTAATGTCCCAGAATCGGTCACCGTAGTCAAACCTGGCACAGGAATACGGACTCTTGGCACATGGACCCAGACACTCAGAGCCCATTTCAAACAGCGCTGGGAGCCCTCTGTACCAGGGATCCATTCCTTTCCACCCAAACACTCCTCCAGATGGACTCAGAGTCCTTGCAGGGTCTGCTGAGTCATGCTACCCCAGAGATCTGTTCCAATGCAGGCTTCTGGCCTCCCAGCACTGTCAACCAGAGTATCCCGAGGCTGTAATGTGGGAGGTGGGACAGAGCCCAGGGCCTCACACACACTTTGCATGTACTCAGACATTCGGCTAAACCCTGCAACCCAGCCCCTCCCCCCTTGCCCTTCTGGGTTTGTTTTTGAGGCAGGGTTTCTCTATATGGGGATAGAGATAGGGAACTCTCCACATAGACTGGGCTGGTCTTGAACTCACAGAGATCCCCCTGCCCCTGCTTCCTAAGAAGTGGAATTAAAACCATGTGCTACAATATTTGGCCCCTCTAAAATATGAGACTAGGGTTTTACTAAATTACTTAGGCTGGCCTGGAACTGGTTGTTACTTCTGCCTTGACCTCAGGGGGAACCAGGACAGGCTTTTGAGACAGGGTCTCACCCTATAGCTCAGATTCTGTGTCCTCCTGCCTCAGCCATCTGAGTGCTGTGTAGCCACCACGCCTGCCTTGCACGGTTCTAACAAGCCCTCCAAGGGACACTGGTCAGTGTCCTCTGGTCTCTGTATACCAGGTGCCCTCAACCCTCAGGCCCTGGGATTTCTGGGGGCACCTCACCCCAGCTCCTCTCCAGTCCTGATGTCCCTGGAACTGAAGAAGGCAATGCGAGGAAACCGCAAATCTTGGTGCAGCATGAAGACCCGGACAGGGATGATGTTGGGGTCACACAGGTGGTTGATGAAGCGGCTGATGTTGCCATAGTAACGGGCATCGATGCAGTAAACCTCTCCATCCTGGGGAGGGGCGGTGCTCTTAATACCCCCCTCTCCTCGCCCCTGGCCGGTCCCTCCGCTCGGGTGTCCCCTCGCCAATGCGGGAGTAGAGGACACAGCTGCCGCCTGCCCACCTTGTTGTCCAAATCGAAGAGGTAAGAGTCGTCTTCTCTCACGTCGGCCTCGGCATCAGAAATCAGTTCTCCAACGTACCTGGTGGACAGAAACTGCGGTTCTGATCCCGAGCAGGGCCCCAGGCCCCTTCTCTCTTCTCTCCCTGTGATCCTCTCCCACCTCTCAGCGGCAATCACTGCAAGCCACCAGGTCACTGCTGGGGCTATGCGGGTTACTGAGAGCCCAGGGGAGCAGACACTGGCTAGGGCCAGGGCAAGAGGGATGCAGGACACAGTCCAGCCACTAGGGGTCCCACTGTAGAGCTGGAGCAGCAGGTGGGGCTCTTGCCTTTATGACCAGCCAAGGCAAGAGGTGGGCAGTGATGGGGAAAGAGTGTGAGCCTGGAGACGGCTGCAGTCTGGGATTTGTATCCATGGTGGCTGGCTAGGTGGAAAGATGCCACGGGCACAGGGAGGTGTGTGCCCCAGGGACTATCCCACAGGAGGTGGGAGGCAGGTGACCCAGTAGGGCAGGGCAGTGAGAAGTTGAGGAACTGGGTGGTCCTGGGAGCTGGAGAAGAGGCTTCTCTGCTGTAGCGGCCACCGGAGGCTGACCTTGGCAAGTCTCAGGGCCACTAGAGAGGACGTGGACAGGAAGTAGCTATTCTCCATTTCACAGGGAGACAACTGAGGCTGACGGAGGTTCACAACGGAGCACAGCCCAAACCCAGGTCTGTCTGCCACTGGCGCTCACCACAGCTAGGCAGAGCTAGGTAGGTGGGTGACATGGCTTGGTGACAAGGAGTTCTGGGGTCCAGGCAGAGTGGATGCAGGCTTTGTCCTCTGCTGGGCAGGAGCCAGGTGTGTGTGTGTCTGGGGTCAGCAGAGCCCTTAAGCACCAAGGTCCCCAGAGAGAACTTACTCGCAGATGAACGTGCCCTGGGGAATGGTCTGCAGGGCACGGACCCCCCAGCCCATCTTGGCTGTACGGTAGAGCTGCAGCCGCACCCTAGAGGTGGAGAGGGGTCATACTGAGTGTGGGACAGCTGGAAGGCCGGGGACGGGAGGCGGAGCTGAGGCAGGGTGCCGGGGCGGGCGCCTCACTTGATGCCGCTCTGCACCACGCGGTTCTTGCAGCTTCTCCAGCAGGAGCATGCCTGGTTACACTCAAAGATCAGGGGGGGTTCGATCTTGTTAAATTCCTGAAGCAGCCGCCCGTCCTGGGGTGTGGAGGGAGGGGACAGTGGTTTCGTTTCAGCTGCCTGAGACCCAGAGGACTCCACAGGAAACTCCACTCTGACCCCAGCCCAGAGCGGGGAGAGGGGGGTGCAGAGTCTGCAGGTTGAGGTCAGAGACCAGGAAGTGTGCGGGCAGGCTGGCATCAGAGGCCATTTGCATACACCTGAGCAGAGGCCCACTGCATTCCTGGCAGGGTCCCAGGACTTGCGGCCACACCCTGTGTCTCTTCCCCAACAGAGCAGGATCCTGGCTCCTCTGTGGGACTGGCCACTTCTGGCCAGGTGAGGGACACGCACCTTGTCATACCAGCATCGGATGCTGAGCTGGCCACACAGACAGTTAGAGCTGGAGCAGTCGTCCGCACACGTGCAGTGCTGGGTGGGGTTAGAGTCAGTGTGAGTGGGATTCAGCCTGTTCTCAGTTGCCAATGCTTACAGCCTCAGCCACGGGTCCATGTTTCAGGACAGTAGAGGGAGATGGTCCCAGGGTGAGGCAATTCTCCGTGTCCGTGTCACGTCATCGTCCGTCCCCCCTCCCGTCCCTGTCCCCCCATGGAGGCAGCCCCACACTGGGTTCCTTTCAGTTCCTGCTCCCTCAGCCAGGTGACCCTTGATGGACACACAGCAATTCTGCTCATGGTGTTAAGCGTCTCTGCAGGCACTCGGGGCCGTGACTCACCTGCAGGTGAGTGATATTCCGGTCGATGTTCATGGTGGATGTCTCACAGTTCTCGGAGATGTATTTATAATCCTCGGGGCAGGGCTCCCCATCCACGCCATTGACACAGGGGATGGGCACGTTCTCGTAGCCTCTAGCCACATCCCTGCAAAGGGGCAGGGAAGGCTAAAGCAGGGCCAGAGTTCTCTGTGGCTTTGGAGGCTGTCCTGGAATTCTCTTTGTAGACCACGCTGGTCTCGAACTCAGAGATTCGCCTGCCTCTTCCTCCCGAGTGCTGGGACTAAAGGCGTGCACCACCATGCCCGGATGGGCCACAGTAGTTTTGAGGGACAGTGCTGGGGCTCCTCAGACATGAGGAGGAAGGGTGCCAGACAGTTTAAGTATCAGATGGTGTGGCACACGCCTTTAATCCCAGCACTCGGGAGGCAGAGGCAGGTGGATCTCTGTGAGTTCGAGACCAGCCAGGGCTACACAGAGAAACCCTGTCTCAAAAAAAAAAAAAACAAAAATCTTGCACTTCATGTGTGTGTGTGTGCGCGTGAGCGTGAGAGAGAGTGAGTGAGACAGAGAGACAGAGAGAGAGAGAGAGAGAGAGAGAGAGAGAGAGAGAGAGAAGGGACTGAGCCCAACAGCACTGTGCTGCGTGTGCAGTATTCTACCATGAGCTATGCTCCCAGCTCTCTTGGCTTCCTGTGAGACAGCATCACACACCTCAGACTGCAATGCAGGTGGAGGGACTTGACCTCTCCATGATCCTGCCCCCACGCCAACCATGCTGGCCTCAAACGTGGAACTACCCTGCCTCAGCCTCCCCAGGTACTGAGCTCATAGTCATGCACTGCCACACTCGGCTCACACAGGACACACCTGTCTTACGAGCTTACATACATGTTCATAGGGATTTTTTTTTTCCGAGACAGGGTTTCTCTGTGTAGCTCTTGTAGACCCCGGCTGGCCTCAAACTCAAGAGATCCACCTGCCTCTGCCTCCTGAGTGCTGGGACTAAAAGTGTGCGCCAGCAGGCTCCCTAACCCACCCAGGGTCTCACTGGCAGAGCCTTTTATTTCTATGTGCCCTGGCAATTCTTGGGACTCCCTGTGCCTCTGCAGGTCTCTGGGGCCGACGGTGTGAGGTGGCAGCGGTGGTGATGGGTGCCAGGGCCACACTTACCGGCAGATGATCTTTTCGGTGCGCACAGCTCGGTTTCCTACCCCGAGCCTGAGCTTTCGATTGAGTTGCAGTGCAAACCACACATCGGACCGCTCTGGGGTCAGATCCCAAGCTGTGTCCCCTTCCTTGTTCCGAAGCTCAGGGTTGGCTCCACGAGACAGGAACAACCTGAGGAGAGACCGAAAGCCCATCCATACCTGCCTGGGTCAGAGCCTGGGCGGTGGGTGTGGGGGCAGGGGCTGGGGAAAGCTGAGGCTTACAGAACGCAGTCGTGGTAGCTCTCCCTGGCAGCGATGTGGAGGGGTGTGTCCCCGTGGTAGTTGACAGCATGGAGGTCGCACCGGGCATTCAGGAGGACCTCAGCAATGGCGGCGCTCCCCGTGAAGGAGGCCCAGTGAAGGCAGATGTTCTCTTCCTGTGGAGGTCACGGGGCAGAGATGAGGCTGAAGGTGACTGAATCCTCCAGTTCAGTCCCATTTTGTACAGTGGTCCCACCACAACTCGCCACCAGCCCTGTCAGTGCCCCAAGTGTCCCTCACGTTGTCAGTCAGGGTTACGTCGGCACCCCGGGTCAGCAACATTCGGATCACGTCTATGTGCTTGTGCTCAGCTGCCCAGATGATGGGCGTCCAGCCCCCGCTGTCCTGCGGGACGGAAGGCAGAAAGCAATGAGGGCCGGGCATGCTGGCTAGAGAACAGGACCTCAGGAGGACCTCCTCAGGGTGTTACACAGAAGCGCACCCCCCCACGCATTTACAGGGGACCTCACTGGACACTTTCAGAGATAAACGGGGGGAACTCAGAGTTCCATGAACCAAAGACAGGAGCCAACATGAACAATGGGAGGAGGTGAGAGGACCAACGGACACCCCAGGTTCAGCCCAGGGACCCGGGCGTGGGAGGCGGCCAGACCGCTGACCTGTGCATTGACGTCCACTTGTCCGGTGCTCAGCAGCAGGCTAACCATCTCCAAGTTCCCCATTTTGGCTGCATGATGGAGACAGGTGGAGCCATCCTCTTCCTGAGGGAGACATGAGCCAGTGAGCCCCTTGGATGGCATCCCTCCCCCGCTCCCCCCTGCACTTCCGCCCTCCAGCTCCTTCACCTTGCTGTAGACACAGCCACCAAGCTGCACCATGTAACGCGCCACCTCCAGGCGGTTGTGCACCACGGCCTCCATCAGTGGTGTACGCTGCTGCTTATCCACGGCGTTGATATTGGCTCCTGCCTGTGAGGAGAGGCAGGAGGGCTGGCACCAGGGAAAGGGTGCGGGGAGCGGGAACGGGGTTGGACAGTGAAGTGTGTGCGGTGTTTGTGCACTCGTGTGTGTGCCCATGTATGTATGTGTGTATGTGAGTGTGTGGTGTGCATGTGCGGTGTATGTATGTGTTTGGGCGCGTGTTTGAGTGTGTGTGTGGTGTATGTGTGTGTATTTAAGCGTGTGTGGTGTCACCGTGACTGACCTGCAGCAGCACGTGACAGATCTCCACGAACCCCTTCTGTGCAGCTGCATGCAGGGGTGTGCGTTTGCTCTGCTGGTCGTTCTGGACGTTGGGGTCCAGGTTGTCTACTGCAGGGAGAGAAGAGGAAAGGCCTCAGTGAAGGGTGGGGTGGCACTACCTCCAGGGAGGCTTCCCAAGATGCTCTGTTAGGCAAGCCTGTGTGAGTTTTGCACATGACCACTGAACAGGACCCAGCACCAGCAGGCACGGCCTGGCCACCACCAAGGGTCACGTGACCCGCCCCACTGCGGGTCCTCAGGCCCTGGCGGTGCGACCTGACACTCACGCAGCATGAGGATCACCTTCTGCAGCTCTCCCTGCTTCACAGACACGTAGAGTTGGCGTGGGTGAAAACGAAGTTTCTTCCGCCTGCCAGAGGACAGAGGGGGACAAGGAGAGAGTGGGCCCCTCACACTTGAGCACCAACAGCCACACCTGCCAGCCCTGACTCACGACACCCTGAAAACAGCATCAACTCACCTCTCTGACTCCTGAATGACCAAGGCCTTCTCCAGGGCTTCCCGGCCTGGCCCTGGGGGAAGACCCACAGCTGAGAGGCAGCTCCCGTTAGGCAGGGTTAGCGAAGGTCCTGAGCTGTCGATGGTGTCTGTCAGGGGGTCGCAGGGCGGGCGCCGGGGCTCTCCATGCCCTCGCATTCATTGGGGCGGGGGGTGGGTGGGGGAGGGAGAGGCCAATACCTGGGCTGGGAGGTATCTGCTCGCCCTGGGGCGTCCTGTGCCAGGGGTAGCGGGGCAGGAGCTGCAGTGCCAGCTGGAGGGGTTCCCCCATCGCCCCGGGGAATGGTCACCTCCTGGGCCTCTGAAGCATCCTCTCCACAGTGGGGACAGAAGACCATGCCATTGAGCTGGGACACACAGGCCTTATGGAAGCGGTGGGCTACACGGAAGTCAGGGTGGCATTCCAGGAAGGTACCCTGGGGCAGAGAGAGGAGGCAGTGAGTCTCAGCTCTCTCAGGCAGCAGGCCACCCACCTACCCCACCCCCACCTACCCCTGTGGTCACTCACTGCTGTGCAGAAGTAGCCACAGCCTGGGCAGCAATGGTGCTTGACCATGCGGGCACGATGGGCCTCACAGAGTACCATCAGGGCCACTCGGCTGGAAGGCCGCATGGTCTCACGCTTGAGGATGGCGGCGTTGCAACCCGACAGCTGGGAAGAAAGGAGGGTGAGGGCATGATGGTGAGGCTGAGGTCCAAGTCAGTGCTCCCTCCGCCCCGCCCCAGCGCCGCGCCCACCTCTCCATCCACACTCTCGGTGGCCATGCACTTGTGCCCGGCTCTCTCACTAATGCGGTCTATCTTGGGTGCCTCCATACGGCAGCTGCAGAGGGGCAGCTCGTCAAACCCACGCTCTGTCTCCAGTGAGGACGTGTCATTGGATACCCCTTGGACAGGAAGAAATGGAGGCGATGGAGGCCTTGCCCCTCACCAATGGGAGGTTCCTCTCCCTCCCGCCCAGCCACCCCTTCACATTCTAGAACCCCAAAGCTTGGAATGGACATCCCAGCTCTGGTAGGGTTTCCCTCCACCCCCTTGGGCACCCTCTAGCGGTTCCCTGCCCGGCAGTTGGCAATTAATTACCAGCGTGGTTGGGGGAGAGGGTCCCCTCGCTGGGCAGCTCCAGGGACCCCAGAGGGACCTCCATGTACTCACTGGGCCCTGTGGAGCCCACACCATTCACTCCTGACACAGAGACAGAGAGAGTGAGAGTGGGGGCTCATGGGGCCTGGGCGCGTGCGCACACGCGGAGTACACGGTGGGCATGCACAAGCGTCAGAGCACGCACTGCTCTCTGGGGCCGAGGAGGGGACCCAAGGGCAGAAGAGCCCTCTCACCTCTTGGCTCTTTGGTCCTGGGAGGCTCTCGCTTCCTCCTTTTCCTGGATGGTTTCACCCACGGGCTGTCTTTCCGCCATTTCTTCTTGGCCTTGCGTCGGCCACTAGAGCCACTCTGTGGAAGAGGAAGACTCAGGAGCTGTGCTCTGCCTCACCAGCGCTGCACCCCTCCAGGCAGGCCAGGCTCTGCTCCGCCTCACCAGCGCTGCACCCCTCCAGGCAGGCCAGGCTCTGCTCTGCTCCGCCTCACCAGCGCTGCACCCCTCCAGGCAGGCCAGGCTTTGCTCTCACCCTGTCCGACTGATTGCCTGACTCCTCATCCTCCTCCTCCTCCTCCTCCTCCTCTTCCTCCTCCTCTTCTTCCTCCTCCTCCTCCTCCTCCTCCTCTTCCTCCTCCTCTTCTTCCTCCTCCTCCTCTTCCTCCTCCTCTTCACTCAATGGCTCAGCTAAAGCTTCAACTTCAGACTGAAAGAGATGAAAATCAGGCTGGGAAAACACCAAACTGCAGCTATCTCCTTTAAGAGCAAGACACAGCGAATCCCAGGGCCTCATATGACAATCACCCCCTGCCGGGGAAGCTCGCCAGAGGCTGCCAATGTGGGCAAGAGGCAGGATGGGGCTAGACAGAGACAGGCACACAACACCATACAGCAGTAATAAGGGATGGTTTTATGAAACACACAAAGAGACATGACTACCCATGTCAACAAAACCACTACATAAAAAGCCAACGAGTCAAAAGACTGGGCAGTGGCAGTGCACACTTTTAATCCCAGCACTCGGGAGGTAGAGACAAGCTGATCTCTGTGAGTTCGAGGCCAGCCTGATCTACAAAGTGAGTTCCAGGACAGCCAAAGCTAAACAGTGAAACCCTGTCTTAAAAAACCAAAAACTGAAAGGAACTTGAGGGGAACATAAACAGCTTAATCACTGATGAGCAGACAAGGCAACCGTGAGAAACCACAAGAAACCTGTGACACTGCCTTGCTTTCAATAGGTAACTGGTGAGAAAAAACGGTTTTATGAGTGTTGACATGTTCCTGCCACCCTAGCACTGGGGGTGGGGTGGGGCCAGAGGCAGGTGAACAGCAGTTCAAGGCGGCCTAGGCTACAAAGTGAAACTCTGTCTTAGTCCTCCCCAAAGAGCACACCTTTAATCCCAGCACTTGGGATGCAAAGGCAGGCGGATCTCTGAGATACAGGCTAAGCTGATCCATGAAGCAAGTTCCAGGACAGCCAAGGCTACAGAAAACCTTGTCTCAAAAACAACAACAACAAAAAAAAAACCAAGAAAGTTCCTAGCCAGGCAAGGCTACATGGAGAGACCTTGTCCAAACAAATAAACAAACAAACAAACAAACAAATAAATAAATAAAGCAGCTAAGGCAACAATGGCAGAAAAAAAACCAAAACCAAAACCAACAGAACAATGCCAGGCATGGTTCCACTGGATGTAATCTCAGCACGCAGGAGGCAAAGGCAAAAGGATCTCTGTCAGTTTGAGGCCAGCCAGGGCTGGGGCTACATACAGGGACCCTGTCTCAAAACAAAATGGGTGGTAGAGCCTATAATGGCTAGTCCTGGGCAACCCAGGGAAGGGCCCGGTCTCAAATGTTTTAGCAAAGTAGCTAAGTGCTTGCTCACCTTGTGAGAGACACCGACAACTTAATGCTGAATTTGGCAAAAATAAAGCACATGTTTCTTTAGGGGTCTCTTCTACACATTCGTCATGCTGAGACAGGCTCTATAGCATGTGCTGGGGCTCACCCTTTGCCTTTTGTGCTCAGTGCAAAGTTTCTACAGCAAAGAGGTAACAAATAAATAAAGCAAACACAGGGCTGGAGAGATGGCTCAGAGGTTAAGAGCACTGGCTGTTCTTCCAGAGGTCCTGAGTTCAATTCCCAGCAACCACATGGTGGCTCACAACCATCTGTTATGAGATCTGGTGTTCTCTTCTAGTGGTGCGGGCATCATACATGCAGGCAGAATGCCATACATAATTAATAAATAAATTGAAAAACAAAAAAAAGCAAACATAAAGCTGGTAGGTGGTGGTACACACCTTTAATCCCATTACTCAGGAGGCAGAGACAGAAGGATCTCTGTGAGTTCGAGGCCAGCCTGGTCTACAGAGTTCCAGGATAGCCAGGGCTACACTGAGAAGCAGTCTTGAAAAACAAAACAAAACAAAACGAAACAAAAAGTCAAAGAGGAATGGGGAGAGAGCTCAGTGGGTAACATGCATGCTGCTCCAGTGTCAGGATCCAAGTCTGATCCCCAGACTCCACAGACAAAAGCCAGGTGCTCCCACATACCAGAGCTTGCCTGGTGATGCAGGTCTGGGTACTGCACTTGCTTCAACCTCAAATACCAGGGTAGTATTCCAAAACTCAAACCCACACATTGTAAGACATAAAATCCCCAGGGCTTATATGGAAGCAGAGACCCACACCCCACAAGCTGTCCTCTTTTATCCTAACACCGAAGAGGCAGGGGCAGAGGGGCAGAGGCCAGAGGCCAGAGGCAGGCAGATTTCTAGGAGTTTGATGTTGGCTTGGTTTCCAGGCTAGTCAGGGCCACATGGTGAGACACTCTGTCAAACAAACAAAACTAACCAAAGCAACACAAAGCAAAACCCACCACACTACCACCAAAATAATACATGCGTAAGTAATCTGAAAGGGAACAAATGAGCCACCACAGAGCGGGAAGCCACGTTAGACAGAGAGGGGCAGAGATGGGATAGGGAGACCACTCAGGGCTGCGGATTAGTGAACGTGATTAAGATGGGACAGGGTGGCCAGTGAGCCAGCCACACCAGCATACCTTGCTGTCAGAGTCCACTCGCTCATCCACAGAGTATGAGTCATAGTAGAGGCTGAAGCCGTCACCCACCACTGCCTCCCACTCCTCCAGGGGCCTGGGCTCTCCTTTCTCCAGGGTCACATCTCCTGATCTGGCCCACCCCCCCCCACCCCCCACCCCCCAGGTCTTCCTCTCCAGCTCACCAGGCTGCCAGAGTTCAGCTTCCTCCTTTTGGCCGCATCTGGAAAGAGAAAATGGGGGACAGAACTCTAACCCTGGTGACAGTACACGCCACACCACGAGGAGTGTGCATGGAGAGGGGCAGGGACGGCTAACCTGAGGTGACCTTCCCCAGTGAGTGCATGTCATCACTCATGCGGAAATGCTGTACTTCAGGGGGGCGCTTCTCGGGGACCGGAGGCTGGAACATGAAGGAACAACTTTCAGTCAGAATATTACTCACCCTGGAAAAGGAAACCTGGGGGCTGGGTGCGGTGGTGCACACCTTCAGTCCCAGCACTCTGGGAGGCAGAGGCCAGACAGGACCTCAAAGTGAGACCCTGTCTCAAAAACAAACAACAAACCAAAAATAACAAACAAAATTTGGATATAGACAAGGTGGCGGAAACTTGAATACACTATGCTAATGAAATAAGCGTGTTACCAAAATAAAATTACCATTCTGCCTCCATCAGCCTAGAGCCTGGGAGTGGTATGGCTGGTCTACCTCAACCATGCTACCTGAAGGCACAAGACTGCTCAGCAGGCTGGGCGTTGGTGGCACACACCTTTGATCCCAGCACTCGGGAGGCAGAGGCAGGGGGATCTCTGTCTGGAAACCCAACGCCCCCTCCCCCGCAAAAAAAGACTAATCACCAGTTATCAGTGCCTGCAGCCAAGCCGATGAACTGAATTCAATCCTCAAGACCCAGATGGTGAGAGGGAGAAATGACTCCCAAAAGTTTCCTATTTTTGCTGTTGTTTGTTGCTTGAGACAAGGGGTCACACAGGGTAGTTAGTCCTGGCTAGCCTGGACCTCACTGTGTCGATCAGGCTGTCCCAAAACTCAGAGATCCGTCTGATTCTACCTCCCAAATGCATCGGCACTGCCGGCTAAAATTAATAATAGTAAAAAATCAGTAAGTGGATATAAACAAGGTAGAAAACGTGAACAGAAATCCACAGGTCTCCGATGTGGAGCCAAAACAAATATTTATTATTTATTTACACATCTTTGTGAGTTTATGTGCTCCATGTGTTCAGGGGGGAAGGGGGCTTTAAAAGCCAGAAAGTAAGCTGGGCGTTGGTGGCACACGCCTTTAATCCCAGCACTCAGGAGGAAGAGCCAGGAGGATCTCTGTGAGTTCGAGGTCAGCCTGGTCTCCAGAGTGAGTGCCAGGATAGGCTCCAAAGCTACACAGAGAAACCATGTCTCGAAAAAAAACAAAACAAAACAAAACAACAACAAAAAAAAGCCAGATGGTGGGGTGGCATTAAGTCCCCTGAAACTGAAATTACAGGTTACAGGTGATGCTGGGACCCGAACCAGAGTCCTCTTCGAGAACAGTTAAGTGCTCTCAACCACTTGTCACTCTGCAGTGGCAGAGCAACAACACTTAAAAACTGGGTGTTGGTGGCACACGCCTTTAATCCCAGCACTTGGGAGGCTGACGCAGGTGGATCTCTGTGAGTTTGAGACCACCCTGCTCTATAGATCGAGTGCCAGGATAGGCTCCAAAGCTATAGAGAAACCCTGTCTTGAAAAATCAACCAACCAAAAAAACAAAAAACAACAACAAAAAACCTGTCCCGAGAAAACAAAAGTAAATAAGCAAAAAGAACACTGTGGACCACGGAGATGAGATGGCTCAGTGAGTAGGGAGGCTTGCTGTGCTCCACAGACATGTCCCCTGTCCTCCCCTGCCAGCCCCCCATTGCGCATACATGAAAAGTTCTGTACCCCGGTAAGTCTCTCCAACGATGATGCAGCAATCCAAATCAGAACAAATCAAACTGAATTAGAAAAAGCCCATATTTAATGGATAAGGCACTCCTGGATGGCCTTGCAGCCCCCCAGGGAGGAGACAGGAAAGGGAGACTGGAAAAACCATGAGTCTGTTCTCTGGGGGACAGTTTAAATACCTTGTGGGAGTGGTCCTGAGCATCTCTGGGGGAGGGGTCATCATTTGGTGGGCTTTCTGAGATGCAAGGGGGACTTGATGGAACTTCCAACATAACATCCCAGACTCTTTGGGTATATGGATGCCAGGGGCTGGGGTGAAGTTTCCATCGTAACAAAACACACTCATAATAAAAATTCCAAAAGTTTTATCTACACCAAACAGTCTTAAAAACTACTAATGTAGTATCCACATTAACTAATCATCTACAATGAACCTAAACTACAAGGAAGACATGTTAAGTCATATGCAAATACGAGGCCTCTACCTCTTGACTGCTCTCATAATTTTATGAGGGGCCTGAGCAAACATGGACTTCTGTACCACAGAGCAATTACACTCTGATGAGGTAATCGCTTTCCCAGAAACAGACAACACAGGGGCTGGAGAGGTGGTTCAGTGGTTACAAGCGCTTGCTGCTCTTGGGGAAGACCTAAATTCAGTTCCTAGCAATCAAACGCAGCTCACAACCGCTTCAAACTCCAGCGCCAGGGAATCCACTGCCCTCTTCTAGCCCTCACACCAGGCACACAAGGAGTTACACACACATACATGCAGGTAAAATACCCACGCACATAAAATAACCCAGTTTTTAAAAAAATTGAAAAGAGATTAAAGACGCTGGGTGGGTGGTTTAGGACTAAATCCTTGGTGTCAGCAAGTTCAGACAGCCTTGTGCTATATGAGACCATCTGAAGACAAAAATAAAATAAAGAGGGGGGTGAGGGGGTGGGGGGGGTAG